ATAGATATGCAGGTTGTGTAAGGATGATCAAGTCAGGGTGGTTAGCATACCCATCACCTCAGGCATGTACCATTTCTTTGTGGTGAGGACATTCAGAAGCCTCTCTTTGAGCTCTTCAGTTCCTTACTGTTGACCCTATTGTGCAATAAAACACCAAAACTTATTCCTCCTGTCTAATTGTCACTCTGTACCCTTGACCAACCTCTCCCCCACTCCCATCCCTTCTCTCCTCCTATAGTTGGGTAGCCATGTCCTGCTCTCTGCTTCTATATCAACCTTCTTGTATTTTAGATTCCACATATAAGTGAGATCATGTGGTATTTGCCTTCCTGTGTCTGGCTTATTTCACTTAACGTGATGTCCTCCAGGTTCATCCATGTAGTCACAAATGACACGATTGCATTCTTTTTTTCTGGTGGTATAACATTTTATTATTTTATTGTATATATGAGGTCAGACAGTTAAGTTCATAAACTCATCCTAGAAAAAGCTATTTTGAAGTACTACCTTTGGCCATCTGGTGACCATAGCGACATTCAGCAATGAGGTATGTAGCACTTTTTCTAGGATAAGTTCATGACCTGAATTGTCCATCCTTGTGTGATGACAGCTCTGATGGTCATTTCAGAAAAAGAGTTCCAAAATTGCTTTGAAGGGTGGACTAGGCTCTGGTGTTGGTGCATAACTTCTCAAGGGGAGTACATTAAAGGTGTTATAAACATTCATGTACAAGATTTTGAGAAAATATTTAAGAGTGGAATTATTGAGTAAGAATATGTTTAACTTTTTAAGAATCTGCTGAATTATTTCCTGCAAGTGATTTTACCATTTTACATTCCCACTAGCAATCTGGGGAGGGCAATCTGCTTACCCAGTCAACTAGTTCAAATGCTAATCTCCTCAGAAAACATCCTCCACGGACATACTCAGAAATAACATTTAACCAAATATTTGGACACCCTACAACCCAGTCAAGTGGACACATAAAATTAGTCACCAGTACTTTCAGGAAAAACATTGAGGAGGAGAAAAATAATGAAGTTGGGTCCCAACCCAAGGTATTTGGGTAGGCAACATAAGGCAGAGCCAGAGGGCAATAGTCACTTAGTGGCAAATTCCCCTAGCAGTTAAAAATGCCATAGTTTCATCCAGTTCACTGTTGCAACTTTATTACCTCCTGGTCATGTTCCATTGCCTTCTTGAACTCTCCACATTTGGCTAATGTCTCAACTTCACTGGATAAGTCAAACTAACCTTGCATGGAAGAAGAAAGGAAGTGGGGAGAAAGTGGAAATTCCATAAGACCAGGGAATTGAGTGGTGCCAGGTTATATGTGAGGTAACAACTTGAGTCCCATGTCCTTGCAAGGTTCTAGGAAAATAGCAGGACCTCAGAGAGGAGCACGTCATGGTGCACCCAGGGAAAGTGCACCCCATGGTATCAAATCCGATAGTGCCTATCAGCACAGTTAATGCTTATCTCCTTCAGAAACACTTTCTTCATTTGTCTTCACAGAT